ACATTTCTTTTAAAATAATCACTCCAATAATCACTCTATGATCATTAATTGTCAAGAAAATCATTAAATCAATAATAAAGCTATGAGAAAAGAAGTTGGAAAATGGAGATGGACAAGAGTCCATGCTGGAAGTGGATTGGAGGACAGTAAAATTTTATTATTATTATATATTTTTTTCTTGTAGATAGTTCGTATATGCTTTATTTCTCTTGATGACGGATGACTCAATAAGTATCAAAACAGAGATTTTCCTTATAGTACGAAGGTCACCCCAAAAGTAATGCTCCCGATTTTTTTCTGAGTAATGCTTAATTGCAATTGAAATTGACGGTTCGCCAGCATTGACTCTATTGTTTTCCATCGCTACTGAGCGAAGTTGGAGTGGAGACATGACATATCCCCACGCCCGAAAAAAAAAATCAAGACCCAGTAAATAAGTCAACAGAAATTTTAACACGTGTCATTGCTAACTATTACTGTGTACTTGCGTTCAATTGTGATAAATAATTTGCCAGAAAAAAAATCGGGAGCATTACTTTTGGGGTGACCCTCGTATATTCCGATTTTCCTTTGTTTTTCATTGGAGAATGAGGCAGGAGGACGAAGCACACAGAAAAGATTCGAGCTCCCTGTCCATTTTAGATTTTAGATTTTTATTTTTTTAATAATTGATCTTAGCTTTGCTTTGCCAAAACCAATTTGGATGAAACATTTTAAGATACTGTTGAGAAAATATCAGTCTATCCATAGTGAAAGTTTGGTGAGGGTAGCTCCCGTAAGAGGCGAGATGCACAAGCTAAATTTAAATGACAAATGAGTGGCCAAGGAGATTTGCTTCCACACACCTTTCATAGATGATGAGTTGATGGTTTACATAGGCGATTGACCGCTCTCTCCCAATTGATCTTCTGGGTCAATACATATCCCAGTGTGTGGTCGCTTGGCTCATTACGTCAAAAGAACGGAGACTTAATGTTTGGAAATGACAATTCTTGACAGTTCAATGGGCCTCCTCTCCAGAGCCTGAAGACATGCTCCTCGGCCGCATCCCACATGAGAAATTCTTTCTCCATGCGAATCAGGAGTTCTGCTACATCAGCAAAATGATTAATTTGATTTTAATGGATGGCTTGAACACCCAGGCATTTATGTTTCTCATTAGCCATAGGATAATGAGACAAGGCAGAAAAAGGCAGCGACATTTAAAAAACGTTACTTTTTAACAGATGTCATTATTGTCCATGGTTTATTGTCTTTTTGGGACATACGTACAGGGGGCTTCAACTGCAGAAGAGAGCACAAAATATGAGAGTTTAATGGACTTTCTATTGCAGTGCAACGATAGTCCGTTTGCTTAACGTAGCATCTTTGCAGTGGATGGTGTCATTGCTCTTCCTGTGCAGTCAAGAGTTTTCGGAGAACATTGGAGGGAGGTGGGGGCTGGATGGGTAAAATTGATGGACCCAGGAATTTCGAGATTGCTTCAGTAAAATTAATTAATATTTTGAAAGAGAGCTTCAGTAAGGGGGTGCAGCAGGAGCCATCCACCACAGAGCCTTCGTGCTGCCAACGTACGTGTAATGGCCATAGTCTTCCTCGGGCACCGTGGCACTTCGAGTTCAATTATGTTCATTACGTTCATTTAATACTCTTTGCAGGTCAATATCCTGAGCGTTGCTTACCTTTGAGGGGACCATTATTTCAGAGCCCACTCGGAGGTGTTCAAGACACATATACCAGGTTTTCCTTGATAAAAGATTTTGTGGTAATTTACATAGGTTCTTCACTGCGAGATGCAAGACCCAGTTGAGCGTTCAAACCAAAATTAACTGAAACCTTGGGGGATGAAGTGACATTTCATCCTTATCAGATTCCCAGATTTCCGATCTTCCTCATCCTGACTCCACCCTTTTGGGAATCTCTAAGTCTCTAAGGAGTCATAATCCCCCCTTGGGGTCAATTTTACAGGTTTGATTCTAACAAATTTTTTAATTTGGCAACAAATACAGGGTGGGTAATCAGTTTTTTCATATGTTAACCCCCCCATTAGGGATAATCAGTGTTTCATATGGCAACCCCCCCCCCCCCCCCCATTCGAATTTCCTGGGCACGCTACTGTCGATGGATGTATATACGTGAAAAGAGGTGCAAAACCAAGGCCATTTGGCGAAGTGAGATTAGATCTTGTAAAGGGAGAGTGTATATTGGTGATTCTGGGTTGGTAAAGCCTATCATAGAACCCAATCATGCTCCGTGCAATGCCCGTATCGATGCGGTCACTAAGATCAATCGCATAAAATAAAGTTCTCACCATCCAGACACTCGTTCTTTGCAGAGAATGATTCAACGACAGCCCAATGTCCCCAAGCTTGAAAATCGCACCTTAATTCCTAAAGCAATCAGAACCGTCAGAAATTCTGATTTCTTCTGCTGTGAAGAGAATGATGAAACCCTTTTCATTTCTGATGAAGTGCTGGAGTTTCTCCTCCAGCACCCACGCTGGATGGCTGATAGCACCTTCAGAATTGCTCCCCATGACTCTAACCAAGTTAATATAAACAATCCTCTTGCTGGATCTCTCGGCGTTCCTTGTGTTTATGCAGTCCTTCCAAACAAGAGTGAGTCAACTTACATTTATTTGCTAAGTATAATGAACTACCTTTCCCCTGCCCTGAAACCAGTCCGTCCGTGTCACCAGTCGCTGATCAACTATAGGTATCGTTTCAGCTGACTTGTGGAACCTGGTGGGGGTACGAGGGTAAAAAGCGTGGGGCCGAACTGGATACTGACCACCGAGCACCATCTAGTAGTTAGTAAACTCCAGATTCGGACGAATCTAAAGAAAAAGCGTTGCAAAACGGGTGAAGTGGAAAGCCCTCCGCAAATAGAAACTTGTGACGAGATGTCTAGAGCAATCGGCAAAAATGATTTAAAACTGCCTCGCCAGATATGATGCAGGGACCGGATGGGATCTCTTTCGATCTGGCGATTCGACGGCAGCAGTGAAAGTGGAAGGCGAAAAGCGAATCGGAGTGGCAGGCAGCAACACCAAGAGGACTCCCTGTTGAACACCGGTGGTACGACTGATCCTTGCAGCCAAGTAGGCAGCCTATAGGGCATCTGTGTTCAGTAGGGCGGACCCTTCGAGGATGTGTCGAAAAGATGCAAGAAAAACTGTTGCTCAAGCCGTGAGCGAAGAGAAACGAAAGACAGAAGAAGTGGAACGCAACTACCGCATTGCAAGCAAGGCACCAAACTTGCTTGAGTTTTATGAATGTGGGAATTAGTGATCACTGATGACGGGACGCATCCCCTTTCATTGACCCAACGCATGGATGTTCAAAGTTAAAACGGTGTGTTCAGTGGCTCAACCAGACTCTGATTTTTTTTTTTTTTGGGGGGGGGGGGCGAGTTTGTCTCCACTAGTTGCCTGTCCATCCCGTATGCGCCTTTGAAGAGAAATGAGGGCTCAATTTTCATTACCTCGTTAAGCCACTTTGAAACTTTATTTTTGCATTCATCTAATGTTGCAGAGCTGCAACATGTCCCATACTTCACTTTTTGAGCAGTGATACCGTCTTCAGTTGAAAACAGGAAGCAGTGACCAAACCAAAGGAACTCGAAGGAAAAAAATATTGCTGTAGGATTCCGATATTCGGTACATATAAGGTTATGAACTCTCTTGATTGCAGATTTTGGCCTCTGGCGAGTTCGGACCACCTGACATTTCCCCCTTCCCCCGTCCTTCTCCTCTTCGTTTTGTCAGTGGGTGTGTCTCATTTGAATGCTATAGGACGGAATTCGATTGGGAACCTGTGAATGCTTCCCGGATAAAAGGCCGTTCTGCTTCATCCAACGTCTCAGGGCATATGGTAAGAAAAAATCAGAACTGCACAAATGATAACTTCTCTGTAGGAGTGGTTGGTACGGCGCGAAGCGCTAACCCCTCTAAGAGCGAAAATTTGGGAAGAAAAATTAGATTTAGCATCATTTCAAATTCAAAATTTTGTTTCCAAATGTAATTCTTGCCCAGTTTTGAACTGCACATATTCCAATTCAGAACTGCAAATATCTGTTACAATTGCACATTAAAATATGCCTTGCGACAAATTCCTAGGAAAAGAATCATTTTCCGTCTTTTTCTTGTGAAGATTTCACGTAAAGTGGGATGGGGTTCAGCATTGGACAGCTGGGGTCATACACAGCTAGTCGGAAAACTAGGAGGTCGAAGCCATCGATCCTCCAAAGTATAGGAGTTTTGTAATCCATTTTGGATGGAGTTTGTCAGGAGCCTGTCTTGGTGGATGGTCGTTGCCTCTCCCAGGATTTCTTTTTCGTATCATCGATGCTCCAGCAACGAGAAAAGCACTAGACATGAGATTCCGTATTGAGTACAGTAACCGGGAAGCCCCCGAGAACCGCGATGATGTACACTTCATGAGAACAGGAAAAGCCCTTTTTCCCGTTCCTGAGCTTTTTCAAAGTCAAATTTGGTCCCTGAACCGAATTTTACTTTGAAAAAGCTCGTTCTGCAGGACGGCGTTTCGGTGTTCTGTATTCGGCAACTCGTCACTTCGAGAAAGCGAGCACTCAGTTGCAAGACACCTCCAAAAATGGGTTTCGGGGAAGCAGGGTGAGCCGGCTCATTAGCGGTCGAATGCATTGCATGCACCTTGAATCAGTTTTCCGATTTTTAAATATTTATTCATAACTTGATTTCAACAATTTCGTTTCATCATCTCAATACTTTTCTGGTATTTTGTTATCTTAGCCTATGTTGCGAGAGTGGAATACACAATATGATGACGATGTCACTGAAAAGTCTCTGGGAGAGGATGAACTACCTTATTGCTGTGTCGTTTGCCAGCCTCAAATACATCCCTTGTCCATGCTCAGTGGAATCGAGTGCGTCTGAGCAAGGGTCATGGCGCACTGCTTGGCTCCATGTGGCACGTGGATAATTTTCATCTTCGTGCTCTTGCCTATTAAAAGCGTAGGCTATGAATGTGTGATGTCTCTTAATAAATCCGCATGCTTCACACTTGATCATACGAGAACGGGTGTCAGCTCAAGCAAAGCGATAGTGGAGACCAATGCCTATCAGGTCTAATTCTCGTACATAACCCCTTCACCGGCAGGTTTTCCGGCAACACAGCACCTCTCACCGACGTTTTTATTTCGCTCGCTCTTAAGTTAAGAGTCGACATCGTAAGTTAACTATCGACATCTATGCGCCAAAATTGGCACAAAAAATGTGGAGTCACCGCTCATGGAACGAGACAATCATCGCGAGAGTCAAATGTAATTCCCATACGACTACACTAACTCGAGAATTTCTCGGGCTTGCCGGTTAAGGGGTAAAAAAAAGGAATTAAATGTAAGAATGGGTTGGTGCGCGACTTGTTCTTTGGCGGTCCTTCCTCCAATTTGAAAGCAATGGTTTTTCCTCACAGTCTATCCTTGGATGCTTTCATTGACATGACTCATGATCATTGAAATATGATAGGAGGCTGACTTATTGTGCTAATTGATTGGCCTAGGCCTATTCAGCTTGCATTGCTTTACATATGATTTCTGACGCTGAAGAGTGTTTGAGCAGTGAGATGCACCATTGTTTTCCCACTCCCAGACTTCTTTAGGTCGACATGTGGTCATTTTTCTCTCTCTTTATTTCAAATCACAGTAGGAATTGGAATTCAGTATGGCATTAGCTAAGATAATGGTTCACAATCTTTTCATAGCAATGGCACACTCTTTGGGTAATGATGTATCAGCAGTACCCATGCACATCCATGGATCACACACACATTAAGATAGGCCTATTGAAGAATTAACAAAGACCAGGCCTTTTGAATTCATTCATGAAAGGTTTATTTTGAGCTGTTGATTATCATGACAATAGTTTCAGGATCAATTCAGTCTTCAATTTTGTTCAATTGACCTCAATCAGAAACCTGTGCCTGCCTCTTTCTGGGTGTCCACACACTGGATCAGTCTAGTCTAGACTAGTCTAGTCTAGTATGCTCATGATAAGGCAGTCAAAATGTTCAGAGCTCCATAGCTGAACATGCAATGCCTGATGTTGCCTTCACACCCAATAAGTCTAGTCACTTGACTAAGTTGGATTGATTTGGTATGAAGGAGATATCAGTCATTGCATGGTGAGCTATGGGCCTTTTAAACGTTTTGACTGGACTAATTGTGACTAGACTAGACTGATGCAGTGTGCAAACACCCATTATATTTACAAAAAAGATATGGTTCAATATATGTAGAGGAATAACATTTTAATTTGAATTTTTAAATATCCATTGCAGATTATTTCTAATGCTCAAAGGGGATCTGAACTTTATTTGTTTTATGTCCCAATATTAAGAGAAGATAGCCATGCATATGCATAAATGCAAAGCAATCAGGATTTTCAGGGCGGCAGCAATATTTATCTAGGTGGCTTTCCTAAAAAAGACTCTCCCGATGAAGTTTCATTCCAGGAATATGTAATATGAGTGAATTGTTATAGATATGAACTTATCTTGTATTCTCTTGGTGCAAAATTTTATTGCTGCTTGCTCCATGAAGTGCTCCTTGATTGCACCAGTAAAGGAGCATTCTACCCGTATTCCCCTTAGAACTTCCAATGCCCACAGCACCCTTGTTGGCCTCTTGCAGCATCCCTGGGTGCAGTAGCACACAGGTGAAAATCACTGAGCTGAGAGCTCTGAAGAAGACTTATCTCTGAACTCCATTTGCCATTTAGACTTTATTTACCCTTTTGTGAGCTGTGGGAATCATACTTCCACCTCACAAATTTTTATTAATGTGCTAGGAAACCCACTTCCTACCAATACCAATTGATATTGGTGGGCATATGTTATTGGTTGCAATTTGTCCCTTGTTCCACAAAATATACCAATAGAATGTTTCTGTGTTCCTATGTAATTTATTTAATAGAAGAAAAAAAGACAGGAGGATATGCCAAGTTTCCCAGATAAAAATTGCCCACAAGAGGGTTAAGCATATCATCACTTGTGGAATATCCTCATTCATGAACGTGTAGGTAGATTGAAGGAGTTGAATAATCTCTGCCAAAGCTCATACACTTGCTTAGAAACTAATTGTAGCATTGCATCAATCACATTGTCTTCTCTACTACAAGAAGTTATTGAGGGATGCATCAAGCACAAGCAATACTCCTAAACATATTTCTTTCCATGGTTTTTTTATTTTTATGAATTGTTACTTTTTCCCATTTCAATTTTCATGGAAAAGGCAAGTCCAAAGCAACTCCATTCAGTGGTGAAAATAAACAACTCTGTGTTTTCAATGTGATGGCTGTCCCCCCATGGAAACCTGTCAGAATCTCAAAGGGATATCCCATCTTGATAAATGCTGAGTGTGTGCATTTAGCCTTAGATCTAACTTTCTTCGTGTGACTTACATACATGACTTTGGTCTTTCAATATTTCTTTCCCATGTAGGTAGTCCTGTGTAATTTAGGCTTAATATTGTTAGTGAGGCATGGATGATGACAACGAGTTCCCATTGGGTGATTTTGATAACCAGGAAGATGAAGAGGGAGACTATGAAGATTATTATTCCTTCTTCAATCTTCCTCGAGAGGTAAAAGTAGGCTTAGGTCCATGCCATAGGCTTATATTTAGAATTGCTAGTAAAATTAAGTCTGACTGAGTCACCTGTTGCAGTGGATGAAACTACATTGATTTTGGAATGGGTTTGGGGTTTTGAATTTGAATGATGTTGGATGGAGCATTTCATATTTCTGCATTTATCTTATACAGATGTATCATAAAAAATGCTGGTGTCCTAGGTGTAACTTAGCAATTAAGAGGTTACCTCATGTCAAGTCAAAGTATGAGGGTGTTTCAATAAATAACTTGACAAGAGCTGCTATACTTAGATATTTACTTATTCAGACCTCTATTTATGTATATCCCGGATATAGGCAAGGGGGTACCATATTTTCCGACATAGTCACTGTATTTGTTAAGACATTCATCTCAATGTAACACCAAGGACTCGATCCCTGCCCACCAGAAATCCGTGTCAAGTGTCCAGAGCCATTTTGTTAATGCTTGCTGTACCTCAGTGTCTGTTGCAAAATGGCTGCCAAAGAGGCTCTCCTTTAGGAGCTTGAAAAGGTGGTAGTTGCTGGGCACAGTGGTGCTGGGGTGCTGTGGTGCACCCCAGAACAACTGCACTCCAGAAAGGTGCTTGCAACTGTCTTCTGGGACCATTAGGGTGTTCTGGTGGAGTTCCTGTGTTGTCATCAAACTGTGAATGTGGAACGCTACTCAGATGCTGGACAAGCTACAGGATGCCATTTGCCGTAAACGACCTGGCTTACTGCATGAAGGAGTCATTTTGCTCCTTAGCAACACCAGGCCCCACACCGCCAACCGTACCTGAGAGTGGTTGCAGCATTACGCATGGGAGGTACTGGATCGCCCAACCCATAGCCCGGTCTTAGTGCCCAGTGACTATCACCTGTTTGGGCCCCTAAAGAAGAGCCTCCATGGCAGCCGTTTGGCAATAGACTCTGAGGTGCAGCAGGCAGTGACTATATGGGATTGGAGACTTGACACAGATTTCTGGTGGGCAGGGATCGAGTCCTTGGTGTTACTTTGGGACAAATGTCTCAGCAAATATGGTGACTATGTTGAAAAATATGGTACCCCCTTGTCTATATCCTGCATGTAAATAAAGGTCTAAATAAATAAATGTCTGAGCTTAGCAGCTCTTGTCAAATTATTTATTGAAACCCCCTTGTAGAAGGATTTTATGTAATTCAACCACACACTTGTCAAATATGGACAGCCAGTAGTCCTACTACCAAACATTGTGTTGAGGTTAGAAATGGAACATTTTCTCAATTATAGCAATAATTATTTAGGGGACATGAAATGAATAGGAGCTATAAAGTGGCAAGCTTACAACACACCAAGTCCAGCACTGTAAGGAATTTTAAGGAAGGATTTTAATGCAAAATGTTTGGATTTTAGAGGTCTTGTGCATAGCACAGTCTGCCTGGCTATGTTACATGACCTCCAACCCTCTGTGGGCACTTTTTATTCTTCTTATTTCCACAATCCAAAAATGATCTCAAAATGCGAGTCAAGGTGGAAAAATCCAACTCCTATACACAGCATATTAACTATCTGTGAGGGCATGAGAGCCACTGATAACTAAACCTTTTTGGATTTTTTTTGGATCACTTAGGTTGGATGAAAATGCAATACCCACTCTGATGATGAGGGCAAACAAGCCAGCCCAGACATGGAGAAAGCACAGGCACTCAATTTTCATTGGTCTTCACAATGGAAGACCAGTTGCTGTACTCCTATAGTAAAACTTTTTGTATCTGAAGTAGGGGTCAGGATGCTGCTGAAAGGTCTCAAGACCAATAAATCTCATAACCCATGTAACTTTTCACCACATGTTCTGTGGCTAATTAAATGAGTGTTTCAATGTCTTTGCCTGAGAAACTTTGTTCTTAGGTCAGCAAATTGAGCTTTGTAGTATTTTCTTAGGCATTGCTTCTACATAACTGGTAAGAATATGATTTCCAACCATTTGCCCAGCGAGGATAACACAAATGTGTCTTTTGTTGTGAGGTTTTTCAAGTTCCATTTATTATTGCTCTAAGAAGTTGTACTCGATGTGTTTGCAATAGCCATTTTACATGAAGCAAGAGAAACAAGAAGCCAAAGATAGATACTCCCATTTCCTGATCCTTCCTGATACATTACTTTATAATTAGTGATTGTCCTCACATATTGTCTTGTTGCAGGCGTCCCAGGATGAAATCAATGCTGCATACAGGAGATTGAGTCGCTTGTATCATCCAGATAAGCATTCAGAGCAGAAGAAGAATAATGCCCGACAGCTTTTTAATAAGACAAAGACCATATATGAAGGTGAGTCCAAGTCAGTTTCCTAGTATATTAGAACTTGCTGAATTTTTTTGAAAGCAGTGATTCAGGAGCAAGATCAAAACTCTTTCATAGGGCTCAAATTTTATTATAAAGATTTGCACTGGTACCTCATTGATCTTATCTGGCATTCTGAAGGCTGAACTTCATGTTCTACTGACTTGATATCAGCACTTCATGATTTTCAGTGCTTCTGGCTAAGACATTGTGTTTTCACATAGAGTTTTCTGAAAGTCTGAATGTTAAGGACAATATATTTCTCATTCCTCTACAAATTGCCATCTCTTTGGGCTTGATGGCTGAAGGGTGACAAGGTCATAAATATCCAGCTTGAGTTTCCTTACAGAGGAGAGAGATGGTCTTCTTCATTTTTATGAAATGTGTCCTCATATTTTGGATATAAGCATAGGGAAAACCAATGAAACTTGAACTATTTTTCTGCCTAATTATCACATCCTGCTTTTCTCAGAGCCCATAATGGCCAGCTCAGGGGATGGTCACTCTGTTTCACCCCCCTCTGAAACTGCCTTTTTTCTAAGGTCAAATCTTGGGAGGAATACATCTTCAGTGACGAAAAACTGGTATATAGGTCTCCCCAAAATGAGACACACTGTAATTGTAGGTGTTACAAATTGACTCAAAAGACTCTGAGTCAAAAGGATGCTCTTTAAGATTCAAGCATGGAGTTTCTCCTTCTCACCCCATACTCTGTACAGCCAGCTACAGCAGCCCTTGTGAATAATGTCTACCAGATCTGTTTGAATGTTCTATGGCCATCCATTGCATTGACAAGTTTAATCAGGGTTCTATTATAAATAGTTCTTAAGTTACAGGATTATCAAAACTGGAGGTTAGTTGGTGACACTAAATATTGACTACCCTGTAGTATTTGACCTACTGGCCTAATGAGTCTGAAATGTGACATTCCTGGGTTTTGGGGTTGGAGAACCATATTCTGAGTTTCATAAAAATCTCAGAAACAGGCGTTAATTTGCAACTGTTTTGGGTGACATTTCATAGAATTGCCAATGTAGACACTAGCATATGCTACAACACCCACACATCTGTCATATTTCCATAGATCTCTTATATTTTTGCATTATCATGTTTACATAGTCACCAGCTATGCAAGGGACCTAGCACCAGCTAGGGACATCCATAAATTCTGGTAGTTATAGGCCTTGAAACCTGAAATCTGTCATATTTCCATTAAAAATGAAGCTATGAAGTCCACTGTTGGGAAGCCACACATTGATTCATTCCAAGTCACTCTCATATATGCATAAACCTGGAGTCAAATGTACTGTTCAACTCTCGTGTGAACCTGTGAATTTGTTACGTTAAACTTCTGAACATTCATTCAGGTCTATGTCTTATGAGATTATCAGTCTGAACAGGCTATTTTCCTACTATTAACATATTCCAGAAGAAACTCCTACACTAAATTGTGCTTGAACCCCTAGTTCTTTAGAACACTTTTCATGGAGGTACCCTACAACTTAAACACAATTGCTTCATATTTGATGTCTGAGAGCACTCAAGTTTCATGCTCATATTTACTCTTACTATAGAAATCGCACAGGAAATTAGCACTACAGCATGTTTAATAAAACAGGGCAGCTACAGGGACATGAGTTCAATCACTAGAGAGCTAGTCCAACAAATGGCAGATACCTTAAGCCTAAGCATTCGAGTCAAGTTGCGCATTCCTGAAGCATTTGAGTTTCATTGGTTTCCCCTACCCTGTCAAATGGAACCATTCCATACTGGGTTAAAATTTGAACAATTTTCACCAGCATTAGCTGGTTTAAATGAACTTCTAATTTTTTAGTTTTTGGATGGTATTTCTAGTCATATTTGAGGTACTGAAACTCCATAATCCATGTTCATTCATGTTTTCAGATTCATATATCCATGAAATGTTATAATTTGGGCTGAATGTACAGTGTAACTGAAATCAGGAATCATAGGGTAATAGCATGCAGATCATTCCCTGCCTAGAATGCAAAGGTCTAATTAATTCATTTGGCATGACCATCAGGATGCCTGGCAATTATTGGGAAACTTTTCACACTATGATACATCAGCACCATAGAATGGGTTAAGGCAACCTTTCTCTTAAATGCTTTCATTACTTTTGACCAAAGACTCTGGTATTCCTTTGTCTTGTGCACACCTGGCTTTGTGCTGTGCACACCAATTTTGCACACTGTTTGGGATGATGTTAGAGTTCATAATTGCAAATGGATCAGTAATGGGTGTTGTACATGTCTATACTGCAACCTTCAACCGTCACTTTAGAAGTGGATGGTGTTCTCCCAGATGGGAGAGGGAGTCATCCTGAGCAGCAGCAGGACTCCCACACTCAGCATAGAGTAGCAAAGGTGCAGCATCAGAAGCAATGAAAATCCCACTTCTGATGCTGCTTGAACATGCTTAAGCTTATATAGGTAGTCATCACATATCAACTTCCCATTCTCAGATGAGATAAACCAGAAAGGTGATCGTGTGGGGGGAGTAATAGGGGGGTGGGGACTGTCACATTATACACAAACCAGTAAACTCCTTCTGGTTCAGGGACTGGTTCCCCTATAGGCCAGTGACAGATTTCCCTTAGTTACAATTGCAAAATTTCATTGGTGAGCTACAGAGTCACATCTTTTGCGAGTGAAAATGTGAGTGGGGATTGCTGGTGACAAGTGAAACCTATGCATGACAATGGGATAGAAGTTTGTGTATACAAAAGTTGGCGTTTTTGGCATATGTCTGAGGTGTACTAATGTCTGATTGGAAGGAAAGAGGCAATGGTAGGCTCTTCTATGCTTGGGTGACAAGGTCTACTGAACATTCACCCCACTAGCTGTTATTTTGGGCAGTGTGTTCCATGTTGAATGCGGGAGTGGAGGTTCAGTCCTCATTAGAAATTAGTGTTCACATAACAAAGTTGAGATTCATATGTAGTGTTCAAAGGAATTGACAGTTAGCTCAAGACAAAGGAATGCTGAAACCTCCTGCTTTTTTGTTTTTTTCCTTTGTTTCCTTAACACGTTGGCAACAATGCGTCCTGATGCCAGGATGCAGATTTTTTTTTCAATGAATCCCCTCTGGAACTGTTGAGAACGTTCCAGAAGATTATGATTTCGTAATTACTGATAAAAATTCCAAAAAATTCAACATTAAAAAAAAACTCGGCAAAAAAAATGTTTTCTGGGACCATGCGTCCTGATGGCAGGACGCATTTTTTGACAAAAAAAAATGCATGTGGTCCCACGCGGTGGACAAGCAAAAATAGGCTGGTCGTCAACGTGTTAAACCATATGAATCTTGAACTGCTTGGCACTCACAGCTTTTTTTCTTGCTATATTGTGACTATTGCTAAGACATTGCTGGTAGTGATGTTTGAAAACCCTTCATAACAAAAATACTTGCCAGATCCCTCTCATGAGCAACTTCATAATGATAAGAGATTGCACCTTTATAGAGTTATTTTTAGGTTGCAGTTGAAAAAATAGCAAGTTAGTTAAACATATTGTACCATACTCTGCTATCTTTCATTTGGATTTCAAGTCAGCTAATTGGAACTGTTATTATGAAACTTTACATGCCATGACTTCTCAAGTTTTTGAAATGTGTCAATAAATTTTGCTGAATTGATCATTATATATTTTTTTTGCATACCATAGCTCATTTAAACATAAATGAGGAAGCAAGGTGGGGGTTGTAAGTATCCTCCAAACCTACCTAGGTATGCAGCCAAGATTGGGGCATATCTTCCATTTGTGTTCCATTTGTGTCTTAAGTACCAACACAAAGCACTTTTCCTTCTGGTTACTGCTTTCTGATTTTGTTGCCATTGTTGTGGATGCTGAATTTATATGATAACAAGTAGTTTCCTTTTATAGTTTTTTATTATTAATTTGTCAGTTCATTTGTTCTGCAGTCCTCAGTGATCCACATAAAAGAGCCATATATGACACTCTTGGAGTGAAGGGATTGCAGCTTGAAGGATGGGAGATGATTCCACGTACAAAGACTCCCCGTGAAATTAGGGAAGAGTTTGAAAGACTTTCTAGGTAAAGTCAAATGTTGTTGATTTTGCTTTATCATATGATGTAAGTAAATCAGATCTATACTTTCATGGAATCTTACTTTAGATTGCAGGAGGAGATGCATTTGCAGCAGAAAACAAATCCCAAAGGCAGGATTGTCATGAATGTAAATGCAGTTGATTTCTTCAATCCGTATTGGGATGATGATGATGAAGATGATGGGGAAAGGGGTGAAGGAGAAAGGTGAGTGGGAGTTGAAGGTTGAAACTCATGGTATGCTATTCAAAACAGAGTACATGCAGGCAATATTTAATGAAAATCTTTCTTCTGCTTTGTTGAGCTATGACACCAACTCATGACTTGTATATTGTATAGTTAGGCACCTCTACATTAGAGGTCTGTTGAGTGAAATATGTGTTTTTCCCTAGGAATAGATTGTTCCCTTCCTTAGAAGTGAGTGGACTCACATTCTTCCAGTCTATTGAGGCCCCATTGACGACAAAGAATACTGCCCTTCTGTCAGGAGAAGTCACAGCCCACAATGGCATTGGTTCCGGTGAGCAGGATCCAGCCGTGATGTTTCATCTGAAAGTCCTGCATGGCCCAATCCCTTCACACCTGTTCAGTAGTCCATTCCCTATAGGCTGAGCCTTTCTTGTACATAATCAGACTTAAATGGAGGATTCTTTGACATTTAGGTAACCTCAGCGTTGGGATGCGAAAACTGCTGTCACATAAATCCTGGGCAGAATTTGATGTTGGCATGGGGACTGGCCTCAACTTTTCACTTAAGGGTTATCGCAATCTATCAAAAAGAAGGTGAGATACAGGAAGCCTATCATTTGCTTCATTAGAGGTTTGGTCAATTGTCTCTAATAAATAATATTTTCTCATATTTTGCAGTTATCTTACAGCATCTGCCTATCTCCATGCGACTTCCCATGGACTACAGCCACTCTTTGTCGCCAGTAAGATACACTTCCTCTATCTTTCATCTGGAGCTGGATGTAATATTGGCTATCCTGAAAAGTCAAATTCATAAATAGACATGCAGTTTTTGGCATGTTAACATTAGGTACCACTGCCTTAGGGAGTGAAATGTTGCATATCCATAGGCTTCTTATAGAGAAGATCAGTTCTTGTAGTGCATACATCAGGCAGGGGTCAGATGAAGTTAAAGTAAGGTAAATGGAAATAATTACATTTAATTAAAAAGCTTTAACTACATGAGGGAAGAAATTTGCCTGGTTTTGGACTCAAAACTGAATATGATTCTTTAAAAGTGTATTCTGAAAGAATATATTTTTCTGAAGTCAAAAATGTGATTCCTATTCAAATATGAACAGCCAGAGAGCATGTTTTGGTACCTATGTGTGAATACCTGTGTGAAGGTTCCCTATCCCTACTCTATGTAGCTACAGGTAGAATACCACGCAAAGTATTGATTGGAAATTTAGAGGACATCACATCCGAATTTTTGTTTGTGCATTTTTTACAGTTTCAATTAAATTACTCATTCAGAACCCAAGTAACTACTTTTTTTTTAAATATAAATAATAAGTTTCTATCTATGCTTGCCTGCTTGGGTGGACTGTGCTAAAGTAAGTCTAATACAGGTCAAATCTCGTTACAAGGAACTTCAGGGGGGTGACCTGATTATTTCATTGTACTGAAATTTCGTTGTATCGAATATTGCTCGAAATAAGTTCAAAAGAAACATTCTTTATTCAAATTAGCTATGTCTTCCAATGTACAGACCACAGATGCAGTAATTTTCCACTTTATTTTGTTTGTGGAAAATCTGTAATTTTGGATTGCACAAGAGTTTGTGTTGCCTTGTCAATGTCATCGTAGAACGCACTGCACATTCTCTTTTGTTTTGATCTCAGAGCTGCTTTCCTCAACTTTTCTTCCATTTTGGCATGATCCTTCGAGAATGTGGATAAGGTAGAGGGAGTGATGCCGAATTCTTTTGCCACGTCTCCTTTTTTCCTGCTGGAATCTACTGCTTCCACTACTTTCATTTTTTCTTCCGACTAAAACTGCAGGCGTTTCTTGTTTCCCTTGTTAGCTATGTCTGCGGGATGGGGCACACAGGTACACTGTCTTGTAAGTAATGAGGTTTTGGCCACGACTAGCCTGCACCGACTACTGCATGTTCCTCCTTGTGCTAACACTTTTTATGCCACAAGTGTGGGAAACAGAGAATCAACATTTGGACTCTCTCAAGATCCAAAGGGAAGGAGTGAACCATAGACAATCGTCTCTTCGCAAACAATCAGGTGTTAGATATTTTTTTGTTATAATGAGTGACTATTATACGTACAAGGACTGGAAAAAAAAGCGTTTGTTGTACTGAATTATTTGTAGTAACGAATTTCGTTGTAACGAGATCTACAAAGTACTATTACTATGGGCCATCAGCTGGGGCTTGAAAAAATTTTTGTTATGGTGGGATTTTTGTAGTAACGGAAGTCGTTGTAATGAGATTTGGCCTGTAATCTGTGGAGGAAGCTACCAGGTTTCCCATGTTACTAACACACTTGCTCATTTGAGATTGTGGAGAAAAGGAGCTCTTTTGTGGAGTCCCAATGACCAATATCTTCTGCATTTTTATGAAATCACATATACATCAATGGTATCCCACAAGAAGGCCCTAAGTGTATTGGGGCTGATATTTCAGAAGTGCAAGAAAACAATAATTTTATTAATAACTGTAACCTGTAAAGGGTTTTTGTGTCATAAGTGTACCCTGTACACAAAAGTACTCCATTGCCTGTACCACTGTACCCTCCCCCTGGGCACAGTGGGATAGGCAATGGGGTACTTTGGGACATGCCCTGCTTTCAATAAATTAATGCCAGAAAAAAATGTTTATTTGTGCATTTAATTTCATATCATTTTCTTGCATTCAGAGTTGTATTTTGTTTATTAACTTCTTTTTCTTTATTTGGGAGAAAGTGTCTCCAATTTTTCTTTTCCTGGGTGTCTGTTGGTTTTCTTAACCTGCTGATAAGTTTCCTTTTTCTCTTTCTATGTTCTAGCTTTGTTTGCAAAAATTGAAAAAGGGCAATTATCAATAAATGTAACAGCATATAGTATGATGGGACTGTCAAGTTTATGTCCCAGTCTACCCCTTGACCAATTGTTCAACTGTACCTCGAGCAACCATTTTTGAATCCAATATTTTACAGCCAAGAATCACTCAAGTAATTGACAAAAAACCAATGAATCATCAATATCCACTCATCAATGCATCAAGTAATTCTCAAGTAATTCATCATGATTTTTCAGCCTCTGTTTCTCCATGCATTACTTAAGAACAGACCATAAGTTTTCAGTTGGGTTTACATCTGGACTGATTGGTGGTCAGTTGATCATTTCAGGTATATGCTGTCCCAAAAATTGTTTCATTATCCTATTGGAATTGTTGTGTTGCTGGAGTTGCCAGGGTCATCCAAACTGTCTTCTTGCATCAGGAAGTACATTTTTTTAAAAAGAATTTGAGCATAGTAGTCTGTGATCCTTTTGAATGAATGGCATGATACCTGGCCTTTAATGCTGAAGGTCCCCCACATCATGATCTTCTGCCTGCTTTTGGGAATTCTCTTGAGCTCCTTTTGTGTGTTCTTGGATCTATGATTTATTGCATTTCTGAACAATCGATAACAGATTTCATTGGAGAACACCATCTCTCTCCAATCATCTTTGTATTGCTGTGCCCATTGCACTCACTTCTCCTTTTGCTTTGGGTCAGCATTGCTCAGGGTAAAACTCTTATAACTGAATAGAGTAAGGTGGCACTGAATCATCCATCAAAACACATGCTGGCCTCTGTTCTTTTGTGATATCCTGAAAATTTAATCTGCTGTTGTTTTGCTGTTCTTGGAATCCACTGACCAATCTCAATACTGTCCTCAGGCCTTATCATACATCATGGTCATTACCATCCCAATGCCCCATGGTACCTCACTCTTGGATCTTATTCATATTATACCCTGACAGTATGGATGGGGATATTTATCATGGGGGGCAGTGTTAGGACTTGGTAAGTCATGTTCGTGTGAATATTTTTTCATCTCGTAAGTCTTCCTACTATCCTTTTGCACTTTAAAATTACTTTATATTTCTAAAAACCTTAATATTTTTTAGCAGAACACGAATCTTCATTTCTCTTTACTATGATGTATAATACCATGTATATTTCAATAACCAAGCACGCCAAAACTCATTTGCAAAAAACACCCTCCATTACTCTTTCTTGTGCCCGTTTTCACTCTCACAAACCCTGTTTTTGCTCGGGAGACAAAGAGTTAGGAAAATTCCTCAGATCTCGTCATAAGCCTTTCTTTGTGAATGTAAACTCAAAACCTCAATCCTCTCCTCAAGAGTTAGCATCCTGTAAAAATGTATGTTTGGTTACACTTGAAACGAACAAGAAATTATTGTTGATCAGTAGTTTTGTAAGAATTCTGAGTTTTTCAGCAAAATAGATTGGGACTTTATGACCACCCTGTATATTTGATTATGAGGTTGTAGTATGAGGTTTGTACCTTTGGTGAGCACGCCATAGCTGTATACCAAAACATGTATTACTACACTGTCCACTTTGAAGAACTTCTCAAATTTTATCCTAAGTGGTTGCAGGTATGTAGAAATACTACTTGTGGGCATACCACATGTTAAAGACATATCTTCAAACACAATCAAATGCTCTTCTCAGAAATAAAAAGCGCTTCATGTCATATTTATATCATAGGGTTTCATTGAGGGAGTTAAATATTGCATGGCACCCTAGATATACTGGGTATCACCCAAAATTCCCTGTAACTTTTATACTATACCTCTGCTCTCACTGGAGCTGTTTTCATGGTGCTTGCTCCACGCATTGTCTGATATATTTCCTACAGATTTTCAAATTTTCATTAAAATTGGTGCTGCCAAAGTGAGACCATGTGCAATTATTCAAAAGGAATTGGAAATCGAAAATGAATGTGTGTAAAAAAGAAGCTTCATTCTCTTTGGAGTTGATGATCCCTATTAAAATTATGTATGTAATTTATATATGCTGATGACTACAGTATGTGATCTTTCCATTTGGGGGTGTAGGAACCAGCAGAAAAGGCTTTCTTTCTTGCTCTCATATTCTTTAAAATGGCAAATTGCTTACCCTTTCCATGTTCATATCCTTCTTAATCCGAAATTCTATTTTTTTTGTGCCATGTTTTATTGCTCTCATGCACCTGATTATCCAGAAAAAAAGGTCAATCCCCAGGTTCTGCCAATAATGCTTCCCTTGCACTAGATAAGAGTGGTGAATACTTTTAAAGATTATGAGGATGTTTGCTTATGAATACTGACTGGGTTTACCTTTATGAAAGCATTGTGTAATTTGGTTTGCCAAAAGGAAAGGAACACAAGTTCATATGCAAGTTCCCTCAGGATGGTAAAACTGAATTCTTTCAATTTCTCCTAACTAATCCTTATCATTTAACATCATATGTATTGCAAACAAAGGAGTAGGAATAGAAGTGTGTTTTCACATTATGCATTATTGATTACCTTGGCAGGCTTGATGTACCAATTGGATAAGAAAATCTCTGGGCATATCACATGGAAAGGTGGAGCTCAAAATGGAATGACAACTACCTTAGTCCGTGACAGTGAGAAGACTCGGCTTGTGGGGTCCTTACATTTGGGTGCATCTTCCTCTTATGCCAGTTTCCGGTCAATGGTCAAGCTGAAGGAAGTGAAACTGAGAGCTGGCATCAAGTGAGATTATGACTCTGTCTTAAGATTCAGAGCTCATTCATAAAGGCCTGTGGGAAAACTGAATCAAAATGCCAAGACTTGAATCACCATTACCTTGATAATAATGGCCATTATGACTCTAAAAATATCCTGAAGTTTTAGACTGGTCTGTAGAAATTTTTTTGTTCTTGTTGGGTCACCCATGCCCAAACTAAGGATAAATAATGGCTTAAATCAATTTCTGTCCAGAAATGCTGCAGAAATTTAACAGAGGAGCTTCAAAATTGTTGTGGTGTTGGCAAGATCATCCAGGGATGATTTCATCTCTTAAAAACAGTTTCACAGGTAGCCATCTTTGGAAACCATGCTAAATCAGCATTTGCAAATCTCTTTGGGTCAAGGTAATTTTTCCAGGGTATGACCTCTTTTGGCCTTACACTATGCATTATCATATTGAATAGTTTTGACATGAACTTGATTCAATGTGGATATCAATGTGGATACACCATTCTTACTCTTATCATGGGAAGACAGATGTCTTTGATGGTGACTGGTGAAATTTCATCTTATTTGTCAATTAAGGATAGCTTCTATGAACTTTTTTCAATGTGCTATTAGAGGGTCTGCTGAAGGGGTATTAAAATCAAGACGAATGCTGTGAGGAATTTTCTAACCTCTAAGGAGCCTACCTACCAGCAGATCTTTTAGAGGAAGACTCTATCCTCTCAGTGCACGTGTACAGGTGTCGATGGACCGACTGAGCTCCCTAGCATCCATGCAGCATGGATTAGAAAGCTGAAAATGCTGTTTGTAGCAAATGAGCAATGATAACATTTTCAGGCCTACTGCTTACAAATTTGATTTTTTTAAATTTTTTCCACTTGACCCATGTTCTAGGACATGAGTGAAACCTGCTAGATTTTTTTTGCTGAAAAATAAAAAATCATGCATTAAAGGGTTAAGCTTTGACAGGATGCTTGTATAATATTCACTGTTGATGGTTTGCCCCTCTGGAAGCATTTCCAGAAGAAGAATGCCCTCTGTGTCCCAGAAGAATGTTTCCATTCACTTACCTTTTAATGGTGATGTGGCCTTTTTGAGTGGAGGACTATCAACATGCTTCACTGCTTGGATAGTTGTTTTGTCTTTGGTACATGGAAGTGGGACCGTGTTTCGTCACCAGTAACAAGGCATCTGAAGAAAGGATTACTGTTTTGGAGGGAGAGCAGTTCTGTACTTGTCTGTACCTGGGCATTGCTCCTTCAATTTCTCAGTCAACAGTTGTAGCATCCAATGTGCACAAATCTTCCCCAGCCACAGATTATCATGCAAAATGGCTTTAATGGAACCAGCTAAGATTCCATCTGGGAGAATGAGCTCCTGGTGCATGATTTGTCTGTTGTTCATGACCAATTGTTCAACAGTTTCAATGCTTTCTTCTGTAGTGGAGGTGCTTGGTCTAATAGATCACGATGATCTTCATTTGTTTGATGACCACCTGTAAAAGAAAGCACCCAGTTGCAGATAGTCTGCTTTGACAGTATAGACTTCACACACACTGCTTGAAGCCTGTGAATGATGCCGATGGTATTTTCTTCTTCTTTCCATAGGAACAATACTGTCCAATGTTGTCCTTACATGTCACCTTCAATTGCTGATATTCAGAATTAGGAGTGCTGATATTATCTCTTGCTCAGAATGATTCACTGTGCTCATGATGGCTGATAAGCCTGCAAATTTGAAAGCATGTCTCCAATTCCTCTTTGAGGAATTAATGGTCCTCAGTAGCTTTCTGTTGATTCCATTCTCCTGCAGTAATCCCTACAGCTTCCTCAAAGCAATTGGTCCTATGCCTTTTGGAGTTCCACAAACCCACAGTAAAGCTCTGTCATACTCCCAATGCCTCCCAATGATCTGGCAGAGAGTAAAAAGTTGGTCCGATTACCTAGTCTGCTAGTCACCTTATCAAGCCACCCTGGAGGCACAAATTCTACTGGATCTTCTACTTTCCATGTTAATTCTACAATTTTAATTTCCATGTCAAATCAACACACAAAAATATTTGACCTGACCCACTTTGATTTTCATGAAATTTAGTTAGCTCATAAGGGCTATTGAAAAACCATTTCATGTCAAAAAGCAGCTCTCAAGATCAAATACTTTTTGGAATGCAGCATTTCAAGAGTTGCATAAAAGGACCAATTTTGGCTCAAGTCTTCATCACTTTAAGTGCCCATAGCTTTTGTATCTAATTAATTTTAAAGAGCTGAATGAGGTGTCATTTTAAAGGTCTCTTCAGGTCCTTTTCAATGATTTGTGAATCATAGAGTTTCAATAAAAACAAAGGTCGAATGATCAAAAGGTCAAACCTTTTACCTTGAATTCCAGAAAAGGTCATTTTTATTTATTTAAAAAATTTACCATAACAATCTCCCATTTTTTATCTATAGATGTACCTAAGTTCAAATCAGGACTACTGTGGGATCAGAAGAAGATACAGATAATAATGTGGCAGTAAGTGACTGAAAATCCTGAGAATTTACTAGAAAATTCTGGAATCATCCAATTTGAGCAAAATTGTAGGCATATATATATTTCACTTGTAATAGTCAGAACTATCAGAAGTGTTTTAGAAAGTTTGTGAAATTCTTGAAGGTTCTAGTAAGTTATTAAAGTGTTTGAAGGTTCCACTAAAAATATTGGACATTCAGGTAGTTATTCCCAAGTTCCAAGATCTTAGTAGACATTTCTGGAAACAGCATCTTCTGCAAGGTCAGTTAATTTGGAATCAGATGATAGTGATGATGCTCAAATACTAAGAGAAAAAGAAATCATCAGCCAACTGAAGGAAATATTCCAAGCATCCACAAAGGGAAGAGTGAAGATACAAGGGCCACTTGAAAAGTTATCTACCTGAGTATGAAAGAGGAGAGGTAAAAACTATTTCTTAGCAGCATTAGATACATTGGCCTATAGGCATTATTCAGAGGGAGTAATAAGTCAGTGGCATTTCTGCTATACACATTGAAAATTGTTGAAATGGACAAGACAAAGCTGGAGTATTGAGCTGTTACAAAGTTCTTTACAAAGGAAGGGATTTCACCAAAAGATGTCTTTGAGTGTTTGAGAAACCTGTATGGCAAATGTTCTCCTTCGTATTACTGAGTAAAATTTTGGTGCAAAAAGTTCAAGTGGGGGGGGGAATCTTTAGAGGATGACCCTTGATCAGGTGGCCCAGAATTCTTGGAACCCATCTTGAACTGACCTTTTTCACGCCCAGCTTTTCGTAGAGAATATGCAGCACTCTTTCTTCTGAGATTCCACAATCTCTTGACAGTGACGACACCTTCACAAGTCAGTTCTTCTTCACTAAACAAAGGACTTTCTCACACATTTCGTCATATGAGGCATCTGCTGGGCGACCTGATCAAGGGTCATCCTCTAAAGATTCCCTCTACCACTAGAACTGTTTGCACCAAAATTTCACTTGGTAATAGGAAGGAGAACCTTTGCCATACATGTGTCTCAAACGCTCAAAGACTTCTTGTGGTAAAATCCCTTCTTTTGTAAGGAACTTCATAACAGCTCGATACTCCAGCTTCGTCTTGTCCATTTCAACAATTTTCAATGTGCATAAGCAGAAACATAGCAGAAATGCCACTGACCTATTACTCCCTCCAAGTAATACTTATAGGCCAACGTATCTAATGCTGCTAATAGATAGTTCTTATCTCTCCTCTTTCATACTCAGGTAGATAACTTTTCAAGTGGCCCTTATACAAGTCTTGACAGTTCTTCCACAAAGTTGGAGCATTATGAAAATGTAACATGCTTTTGATGTGTCTAATTTCATTGTGCATAAATCAAAAGAACTTGCCAAATGCCAAATCCCTAACCAGGAAATGTAATCCCAGCAGAAACAGTCAATGTTGTCAGGAACTTCTATGAAAGTGACAAAATGAGTTGCCTCATACTTGACAAGAAAGATTTCATTTCTGTGAAATGAGTATAAAAGCAGATTCATCTCCAGAAAAGGCTAGTCTTGAGAAATTGTTGGGAGATGTATCAACCCACTTGTAAATTCCATATATGACAGGGTGTATGATTCTATATGGCTATGTATGATCATATATTTGCCTTATAACATCATTTATTTATTCATATATTAGCAATTGTATGGTGTGTAATATATTTGATCTATATTACAATATCAAGAGGTATGGGCTAATGGCATCGTGTCTGACATGTGGTGAATGTCCATAGTCAAGTCTTCTGATTGTAAGTGAACACAGTATGAGGTCAGTGGTGTATTTTGGCTGAGGGGCTGGGCGGGGGCAGGGCAGCCGAGCGGACCTAAGTTCATGTCCCCCCCTACCCCCCCTGCACAGTACCATTTGTGCCCTCTCTGGGGGCTCTGCCCACCAGTTTACATGCCACTGCTCTAGGACACTCTTAACACATGCATTTAATGTATCATTTCCTTCTATTAATGCTTCTCTTTTTGTGTTTAAAGTGGGGGCATGTGCTTCCCCTTGGTCCCCCCCGGTGCTATGCCACTGCTGGGCAGTGAAAAACAGAACAAGTGTGACTAACAGAGGATACACTTAATACCAAATATTATCATATTGACATTCTTGTCCCAACCATACTGAATGGACAACTTCTTCAATTTCAATGCACCATCAGAAAGTACATGATCTAGAGAGCTGTTATTTTTCTTGGAATCATTTGTCAATAGCCCCTACAAGCTCACCAAAATTTATGTAAAAATGTTGAAAATACTCCTTCCTGGCTAGAGGCATGAAAATATGCTAAGAAAAATTAATATGTGGGGCACTCAGAAAGTTTCTGGATGTAACTTCATGGAAATGATTTCACATGAAAGCTTTCCTACACTTTCAGCTCTATCTGATATGAGTCTATGTGCAAATTTTCAATTATATGCTTTGTCTAGTATTTTATATGCCATTTTATACTCTGCATATAGCAAGCTTTTTCTTAGACAATGGAACTGGGCCATGAGCACATTTGTGATTTTTAGTGTGGCTTAACACAAGAGCAGAGCATTTCCAGGTTGCAAGGTGCATTTATGGATGGTGCCCTGTGATCCAGCATAGGGTTCTTCTGGTCTGCTGAATTATGGAGGGAATGGTGAGTGATGACAGATGAACCATACACCAAGCAGTTGTGTCTGAGGCCAGAGAAATTAAACTTGCAGACATGCAGAGTAAAAGATGCCTTAAATTAAATACCTGAAGAAGTATGTATTTTAAAATTTCCATACAGTCTCATATCAGCTGAAAGTATTGTATATAATATATAAATATACAGTGAAAACTCGTTAACTCGAATCCTGATAAGTCGAAATTCCGCTTATCTCGAACTTGAATGCTTGGTCCCGGCGGAACCCCGTAGGACACCATGTTAAATGCTCCGTTTAACTCGAATTCGCTTATCTCGAATTTCCGGATATCTCGAATGACATTTTCACTCCCGATAACGATTTTCTCACGGTTAACTCGAATTCAGGGTGCGAAGGGGGGAAAAATTCTTCTCGTGGGACTTTTCGATTTTTGAATAGGATGAATGACAAGAAACCCGTTCGGGAGGATGTTCTTTTGTTTCTTTTGTTTTTTTT